CCCTGCTGTCACTAAAATTTACCGCTGGTAAATCTCAGATCGTATGAACTGGACCAATCCTGATTATGTTTTTTTTTTTCTTTCATGATTTTCAATAGTCTCTTCAAAATAATCTCTATATATTGGTGTTTTATCTTTTCTTTCTTTTTTTTCTTTCTTTTTTTTTTTTTTCCGAGACAGGGTTTCTCTGTGTAGCTTTGGAGCCTATCCTGGCACTCGCTCTGTAGACCAGGCTGGCCTGGCACTCACAGACATCCACCTGCCTCCGCCTCCCGAGTGCTGGGATTAAAGGCGTGCGCCACCAACCCCCGGCATATTGGTGTTTCTTTCTGTGTTCTCTTTGTTACTTCCGAAACAAGAAAAAAATAAAGCTCTTAAATTTTCAATTATCCATGCTTTTCAACTCTCGTGTTCTACCACTCCCTTGTGTGGCATTTAGAACTTGTGAATTGTCAACCTAAAATGCTTGTTAGATTTAATCACTTAAAGATCGACCGACTATAGGTTTGTTTGACTCACAAATATGAGCAAACTCCACAGTCATGGTTCTAAGCATTTACTATGCAGAACTTTACCATTGATTTTTCATCTGAGATGTATACATTATATTTTGTATTCTTTTTTGTGGGGGACGGGGGTTCGAAATAGGGTTTCTCTGTGGCTTTGGAGGCTGTCCTGGAACTAGCTCTTGTAGACCAGGCTGGCCTTGAAACCACAGAGATCCGCCTGTCTCTGCCTCCCGAGTGCTGGGATTAAAGGCATGCACCACCAAAGCCACCACAACCACCCCACTCAAAATGTTGCTTTTTATTTCAGGCTCTGTTGACATTCAGTGATGTTGCTGTGGACTTTTCCCAGGAGGATGAGGAATGCCTAGACCCGGCTCAGAGGACTCGGTACAGAGACTGGGGTTGGAGAATTGAAGTGGACTAAGGTAGAAAAGACTATTTATTAGATACTGAATCACTGATTTATTTAATTTAGTGAAAGCATTGCTTTTACAGCTGATTGGCAAGCGTGACTTCGTCTTGCTGCTTGGAACAGAATGACCTGGAGAAATTGCTGAAACAATGCATCATTGCCCCTAGCAACCTTACCACATGCATTTTAACAGGCATGACTGAATGTTATGCGTTTGAAAAGCGCCCAAGGTGACTGCCTTTATGCTTCTGGGACGTCCTGCTTACTTTTCTCCGGGTCCCACCTTGTGGCTGTAGATGTAAAAATGCAAACACAAACTGGAGACCGAAACCTTTCAGAGCTGCCAAACTTGAGTCCACCTGTGACGTCTCTTCTTTTTCACTCCCAGTAGCTTTGGAGTGGCTGTTCCAGAGAGATTTCCACAGCAGAATTGCAACAGTTTGGGTACTGTTTTCTTGTACTGTTCCTTCTCATCTTCGGGTTCCTTCTCAAACTGTGCCGAATGTGTGTGAGCTTTGTGTGGATGAACCTCACATCTCACGGCAGTGGAAAATTTCTCAGCGCAGGAAAGAACATTTTCATGAAATTTCTCTATTCTCCATGTTTTTCATTTGGTGAGGTGTTCAGTTTCTTTCGGTTTTGGTCCATGAGACTCAGTAGTTTATAACATTGTCACTCATTGTGAGCTCTGGGACTAGAGGCTTCTGCCGCCACACCTGTCTCCTGGGTGTATTTTAGGTTAAAGTTTAAGGGTTAGTTTCTTAATTTGGTTTTCAACATTCTTGCTATCGATATATAAAAAAAGTAGTGATTTTATATGTTAATTTTGCATTACTCATTATTCAGGCATTTATCACATCTAAGGTTCTTTATGTTGTCAGTAGGGAAGTTTTTTTATTCTGGGGAGTATTTCGTTTGTATTGTTTTGTTGTTTTCTAGACAAGGTTACTCTAAATTACAGCCCTGGCAGGCCTGAAACTCTTGTAGACCAGGCTGGCCTTGAACTCACAGAGATCTACCTGCCTCTGCCTCCCAAGTGCTGGGATTAAAGTCACGTGCCACCACACACCTAGCTATCAGTAGGGAGTTTTATTTCCGTGTGCACATCATTGTTGAAAAGAGCACCTACCTGTATCTCTTTTACTTCTTTGTCTTTTTCAAATTTCTCTTGCTAGCTGCCATAGCGCCACATTCAATAAAACTGAAGAAGTGTGCATTTCATCTTATTGCTCCTGGTAACTGTGTTCTCTGTGCTGTGTACTGTTGGCCTAGGTGTGTCCTTTACGGTATTGAGCCGTGCTCCATTTCTTCCTAGCTCCTTTAGGAATTCCATCATGACTTTTTGTTGAACCAGACTTTGTCAGGTGACATTTCTCTTTCTACTTTCTTCTTGGGATTTTTTTTTCCTCTGGATTTTTCTTCCCTATAATTTTGCTGGTGTTGCTGTAGGTGGTTATATTATTGGTCCTATTTCTTTTTCCTTCTCTGTCACAGTATGTTGCTGGTTTGCTATGTTGTGCCTGGTTTATTTTGTATTTATTTATTTAATTAATTTAGTTATTTATTTATTTTTTCTTTTGGGGGAGGGGATGTTTTGAGACAAGGTTTCTCTGTGGCTTTGGAGGCTGTCCTGGAACTAGCTCTTGTAGACCAGGCTGGTCTCCAACACACAGCAGGCTTTAATGCTGATCAGCTCTACCTCTTTAAGAGACAGGGCATGCACAGGAAAACTGCTATGTCTTGATCACAATGTCACCCACCACGCATAAGGATTCTGGACGTGGAACCTCAGTGCGCATGCACGGTCTTCCCTTTAAAAGCTCCAGCTTTCTGCTTCCATCTCTCTCTGCTCTCTTCTGCTTGCTCTCTCTTCTCCCACCTACGCGCTCTCTCTGCCTCTCTATGGTGACCGGCCATGGCTGACAGCCATTTACCCCGTTTCTCTTCTCTCTTAGTCTCCCTACTCTGCCTGGCCCTTATAATAAATTAGTCAACATGTCTCATCATCCGCCTCTTTTCCTCTTTTTCTTAAAAAAACATAACAATCCGCCTGCGTCTGCCTCTGCCTCCTGAGTGCTGGGATTAAAGGCGTGTGCCACCACCACCGACTTTATTTGGTTTTTCAAGACTGGGTTTCTCTGTGTAGCTTTGGAGCCTGTCCTGGAACTCACTCTGCAGACCAGGCTGGCCTCGAACTCCTGGTTTATTAATTCTCAGCTCTCCTATATCCATCCATTCCTCATGTATATCTCATTTCCTGTGTCCTCTCAGATAGTTCCTCTCCGTGTCTTGTTTTGTTTTTTTTGTTTGTTTGTTTGCTTTATCTTTATCTTAGTTTATGTGTATGGGTGTCTTGCTCATGTGTATGTTATTGCAGCCTGGAGCCTGCAGAGGCCCGAGGGCATCCAACATACCTCCTGGAGTTATAGATGGTTATAGTCTGCCATGTGATTTGAACCTGGATCCTTTGGCAGATCTATCAGTGCTGTTAACTGTTGAGCTGCCCACCTCCCCCTGTTTTTTCTTCTTTCATTCTG